GACTTTTCTGTTGCTATTACAGAACTGACATTTGAAGCTTTCCTTGTGCAGACAGGGGTCAGTGCTACAAGAAGGTTCACTCTTGTGGGAGCTGGGTATATGGCTTCCATTATGCTGATGGGAGGCACTGGAGGGGGGTCACTGTGCTGTAAGGTGTGCTTGCCTGCCTAGTTCGTGATCAAACTGCCCCCCTTCTGACTGTCAGGCGGTGACGGTGTAGTGGAGTTGGCTCTCTGAATGTTCCTGTCTGTCAGCTGGTGTCAGTCCTGAACAGAAACTGCAGAGGAAATGTTACTTGCAGAAGTTATTCCTAAATTCTTTTTGTTTTAACAAATGTAAGCAGAGTTTGTCCTATATTTCTGCAGTATGTTTTCCTGTATTTGGTTTGCTTACTTACCTAGAAGTAGTTACTGTGGTACTGGTATTTGTCCTGGAGTGGTGGAGGATATGAGAGGCACCATATGTTTATATGACAGAGAGATCCTCCAGAGGTTAACAAAAGTTTGTGTTAGTGAATCTTCTGTTTTCTGTCAGCTGTAGTCAGGAATGTCTGCTTTTTGAACCATTGGTTCACATAAAATACTAGAAGTAGGGGCTGTGTGTGACAGTGTTGGTAAGCACATCTCATTTAATTGGATTCTTTATCCTGATGTTGGTGTTAATCTGATCCCTCCAGAATTTCTTACATTTCTACTATGCCTAAATACAACTCTTCTATTGAAAAGCAACAGATATTTTCACAAGACTAGTGTGTGCCTTCCTGCCCTCTCTCACTTCATAACTGCCTTGCGAGTAAATCTGTATGAAGTTGTGCAGGTTTCACTTTGTTCTTCTTTCAGCATGCCAGTGCTGATGCAGGAGTTACCAACTTTAATGCTGCTTTGAATTATAATTTTCATTGATGTGTGGTTCTGGATATTGCTGTACTTCTTGGAGTGGTAGCTGCTTTGCTGTTTTGAAGGAGACTCAGTTCTCCATTGCTTTGCACTGGCTATGACTATGCTATTGTAATGAAACAGATGTATTTTAGTTGCCAGAAGTTGCACTGTAGTATATTCAAATGTTTGCTGCCAGATTATAAACTTTTTTCCACAATTTTTCTGAGTGTTTTTGGACAGTTACCAGTGATCTTAGAAGACAATTTTTTTTAGTTGACACTTCAGGCAGGATGTACTGGTATCTGTCTTATTGTTTTCCTACAGAAAATGTATTCATAACTGTCTTTTTACAACGTCGTGTCATTATAATCTATTCTTATGCTTCTAGTAGTCCTTCTTTCAAACTTTTTCATAATCATTAGGTAGCGTTTTGAACTGATACTAAAGAAGATCAGTTGTCTGTCTCTGTACTTGCAAAGCTGCTGTGCTAATCTAGATATCTATATGAAGTTTTTTATCTTGACTGACATGAATTTTGGGGGATTTTTAAAATTTGCTTTGCTGATAGGATGCTCTTTGGAAGTTTTTATTTTCTTAGTGAACACTGAATGAGAGTTTTGTTTCACAAGTGTCAAGGTATGCAAGCTACCTTGAGGAAAAAGGCTTAGCCCTGGCTTCAGCGGTTTTGGGTTTTTTTTTAAACACTTGCAGTTTATAGTCTCTTTCTTTGTAATCTCAGGTAAGGGTTCCTGTATTGGTAGAAGGGGCTGAAGGTTTTTGAAACCTACAGGATGGAATATTCACAATTTTAAAGTGTGGTGTAATGAAAGTTCTCATTTCAAGAGACATACTGGAGGGTTATGATTCCTTGTTTCCAAAGACTTTTTCTTTTCTTAATCCACTGCTTTTGTTTGGTTGCGCTTTTGAAAAGTGAGTGCAGTGTAACCCGTGGCAGTGATGTTGGAGTTCTTCACCCTGAGTTTCACGTGTGCCTGCTCTGGGAATCCTTTCTGTAACCCCAGTAGACAGCGAGCTCTGGCAGTTGGCTTTCATAGCTTGAATTATTTGATTTTTCTGGAGTAACAGAGGGGATGGTGCCTACCTGTGAAACAAAGCTTAGAGCTGAATTAGCATAGGACTGATGTTTCCACTTGAGGTGGATGAGAGCTAACCTGCCTGCCCAGTGTGTTAGAAGATGGCGACTGCACAGCACCTGCTGATGTACCAGCTCCTTTCAGCTGCCTGGGAAGCCACTTTTCTGTCAAGGACATCAGTCACTTTCATTTTTGAGAAACTATTAATAGTTTAATGGCTAAAGCAAGGAGAAAGCAATTCTGTGAGTTTAAATTACATTTTTCCATTTTGGGGGTGATTAACTCATTATGGGTGATCTAAAATATTTGGTGCGCTTCTTGGATGTTGTTGAGTGCTTTACTGGGTGATACTTTGGCATGCAACAGTTATGTACTTCTAGCAACACTTAATGTTTTTGGGGCGCAGAGGATAAAACATGTCTAATCTTTTGGTTCAAGTTAAACTCATTTAAAGTGTTAAGTGAATGAGTGTTTGCACTCTTTTACTATGGTGAGTTTCTAGCAAATTAATTAAATGCTGTGATTTGGATTAATTTTCAAGAGAATTCTTGCGAATGCAAGCTCTTGGTTAAATGTACTTTATGCAAGTGTCTAAGAAATCACGTCTGACTTATTTTGAGTGCTCAAGTGGTGTCACAGCAGCATTTTTAGCATTTTGATATCTCAAACAGTGAGATTAGTCTGAAATAGCTTTTCTATTTGGAAGAAGTGTTTTTCTTCCAGATCTGGGGCACAGTGTCTTGCTTATTGAAGCAATTCCAGTGGAACACTGTAGACTTTGTTAATGCAGTTTATATTTCTGTACTGTTTTGCATAAGGATATGTAGGTGAAATAGAAAAACAGTCCTATCTGTAACTGGTATTAAAAAAAAAAAAGTTGTAGGTGGTGATTTGGTAGCTAACTTCAATTATTAATGTCACTGGCTACCTTTCCTTGGCCTACTTTCCGTTACATGTTTTAAAATAATCTGTAGCAGTACTGTTGCTAGCTTTGGTGGTTGTTTAAAAAAAAAAAAAAAGGGAAAGTGAGAGAAAGAAAGAGCGAGCACTTGAACTTCTTGAAGGACTGCTCACAAAACAGCATCAGCTTCCATGGGCTTTGTAAAATTACTCATGGTATTGCATCCTCTGTGAAATAGCGTGAAAATGAAAAAATGCTGCCTTTCTCTGATCTTGTTTTCCATTTAAAACTTAGGGTTAAACTGAATATGTTGAAACTATTTCTTGTAGTATCTTTTGTTATACTAACTTGTTTCTGAAAGGAAAAAAAAAAGTATCTTTATCAGGCTTTTACTTTTTTCTTTCTACCCTTTTCCAGTATTTTTTGCAATACTATTTTTGTCTCTTCTACTCCACCCACTTTTACTATTTCTACAATTTCTTTTGTAAGTGTATTCATCCTTTAAGCCTAATCTTTAATCTACTTGCCCAATTATTATCTCACAAACATGCTGTAGGGGCTGGAAAAATTGATTCCTAGTGTCTGGCAAGCCTAACTTCTGAGCAGGAGGTGAGGCTAGATGAAAACTGCTGTGAAAGGAAAGATTTTGGGATATATAAGATGCTTTTGCTCCTTGGACACTATCTGGTATTCTTTCATCTAATGGGGAGAGTTCAGATCAGGAATGTTTCAGTGTTGTGGTGTTGATTTCAGTTGAGCGCAACAGTGTCTTGAAATAGTTTACACTGGAAAAAAATAGAAAAAAAGTGAGACCCGTGTAGTAGGAGTAGTTCTGCAATGCAGTAGTTCAGTCATAAGAGTGGATTTCAGCTGGTTTTTGTTCGTCTACTAGATCTTGACTACTGACACAGCCCAGTGTCCCCGTACTAAAGAGTTAGCTGCTAGCACTTGTAGAACAGCATAATGTTACTGAGAAAAAATGAGGAATTTTGTTGCATATCTACCAGAGTTCTTTTAAAAGAGAAGAGGAGAGGAGGAGGAACTGCAACGTGATGCTGTCATACTGTTCTGTGTTTTAAGAACTCCCTGCTGTTGGAATGATATTTAATGGAATTAATCTGAGCTGGTTAATGAGAAGTATATTTTGATTTATATCTTTGCTTAACCTGAACAGAGATTTAAGTCATGTTCAGGACTGAATCTCCGTTTGAGAAAAAATAAGAAACTGGAACCAGTTTTCAGTGCAGGTCTGATTTTCTTCTTCCTCTTAACCTCATTGGTCCCATTGCTATGTGATTGCTCTTATTTCAGAGTTGTATCTGTACTTGCTTAAGCTTTCTGGTCAGTGCTTATTTCATGATTCTTCTTAGTTTTGAATCTGACGTCTGAGTTTGAAGAAGGGCTGACAGCAACACTAAAGAGACCTGCTAGTCAAGATCATGATCAGAGTCATTTCAGTCCATCCTACTTTCCCATTTGCAGGATTATTCTCACAGTAACAGGGTTTAGAAACTGTGTCCTACAGAAGCTAACAGTGCTTGAAGGATAAAAATACTACTGAATGGGCTTTAAATTTTGATTGTCTCTCTTACTCAGAAAGGTAATAGGTAAAGAATTAGGGCCATTTAGAAATAGGAAAAAAAGCTAGATTACTTTTGTTGAGTTCAGGTCATGACCAATAAAATTATGGTTTGAAAAGTGTTGGGTTCTATTTTCCTCTCTTTCTTTACCGTGATAATATAAAAACAGAAAAGCAAGAATAGAAGTTCCTTTCTGGGTTTAAGTATTAGGGTTTAAATAAAAGATTGCATTTGAGTGGGAATTGAAAAGATGGTGGAGGAGGGTAAAAATAATATAGTACACTTTATTCTAACGTGGGACACAATAATTGGTGATAAACTGTGTTTATAATATGTTATTTTTATTGATACAGATTTTAATATGTTATTCTTATTGATACAGATATGGTCCTGAACATCGTAAGTACGTGACTTCAAAGATGGACAACTGGATCTGTTATAAGTTGTGATTGGCCTTAAGCTGACTTACAACCGTTGAAGAACTTAACAGGATTTCTCTCATTCCTGATTTATGCCTATCTAATTGCCTCACACCACCAGCTTAATCATGTATGGAAGTGCTCGGTCAGTTGGGAAGGTTGAGCCAAGCAACCAGAGTCCAGGGCGTTCACCAAGGCTGCCACGGTCACCACGCTTGGGCCATCGTCGAACCAACAGCACAGGAGGCAGTTCTGGGAGTAGTACTGGGGGTGGCAGTGGGAAAACCCTTTCCATGGAAAATATTCAGTCCTTAAATGCTGCCTATGCTACGTCCGGCCCTATGTATCTCAGTGACCATGAGAACGTAGGTGCAGACACCCCAAAAAGCACCATGACTTTGGGCCGGTCTGGGGGGCGGCTGCCTTACGGTGTTAGGATGACTGCAATGGGTAGCAGCCCTAACATTGCCAGTAGTGGAGTTGCCAGTGATACTATTGCATTTGGAGAGCACCACCTCCCTCCAGTGAGTATGGCATCCACTGTGCCTCACTCACTGCGCCAGGCCAGGGATAACACAATAATGGATCTGCAGACACAACTCAAAGAAGTATTACGGGAAAACGATCTGCTTCGCAAGGATGTGGAGGTGAAAGAAAGCAAGCTGAGTTCTTCCATGAACAGTATCAAGACTTTTTGGAGTCCTGAGCTAAAAAAGGAGAGGGCTCTGAGGAAAGATGAAGCTTCAAAAATCACCATTTGGAAGGAACAATATAGAGTTTTGCAAGAAGAAAACCAGGTTTGTAATCTAATGTTACTGTTGTGTTAGTGCAGTAGCATGACTAAATGAGCTTTATGCACTTGCATGTCACATTTAAGCAGGTAAATTATGATGTTGCTTTCCCCGGGTAATTTGTATGAATAAGATGTGTTTTCAGCTTGCAAGCGTCTTTTTAAATATTTCTTGTCAGACTTCTAAGCCACCTCTTCAGTGCTTGTTTCTCCTTCTGTGTCATGTGTGTGATTTTTTTTTTCCTAGGACTGATGCTAACCACTCATTTTCCTTTTGGAAATATTTTACCCTGTTCATAATTAATATTTATATAGTACTTACCCCTTGAAGCATTCTCTGAGATGCAGAGTGTACTAACTGCTGACCCCAAATACAACTGAAATGTTGCTGAATGTTGACAGACTGCCAGTAAAACGAAGTTCACATTACAGTGGTCTTATTTTAGAGCTCCACTTAAAACCTCAAGACCTGCAGTTTTCACAAACAGATATAAATTGTATTCTTGGCTACATTTAAGTAACACTGTTTAATACCTGCTCATCTATTCTTTTGTCATAAGCTGTGCCTATCTTGTTATGCAACTATCATAAAGCACCCTACAGCTTTTTTGTAGTGGTCTGGCTAGTTAGAGAATAGGCAGAAGAACAGAGAATCTTGGGTTTCTGGTTCTTTTGTCCCTCTTAAAACATCCCTAAATTAGAATAAAACTGAGAGGTGGATTAAAATCGAGGTCTTTTTGTAGTCAGCTCTACTTATTAAAAGCTTTCTTAAAATTGTCCCGCCTAGACCTTCTTGCTAGCTTAGTCCTGAAGTAACTACTTGTCTTTGAGTTGCTGTCCTCCTGTTTCGTTGTTTCTGGACAAATGTGAGTTAGGTATGTCTCTGGACTCTTAGGTAAGAAGCCTCGCCACTTTTATGGAGAACAGGCCTAGTGTCCAAATCCAAAAGTTCCCTGAAATATAAGTCAGCTTTCACCGTGACAAAATTATTTTCCCTATTGAGGTTTTTAAATATCCAAGAAACTTTAATGAAGCAGTTTCCATAATTCAAGCATGATCATGTTCTTGAAGCTCTTAAGGCATACTTGCTATTTAAAAGAAGCACTAAGATTTGCTTTAGAAAGTGGAGCGGAGAGGGAAACTGCTGGAGGAAAAAAAATAGCATTGGTAGTACCTGATGTGTTATACTCTACTTTCAGGTGACCTGTCGTAAATAGTAGATGCGTTTTGGTTAGTGATAACCTGCTACACTGAAGCTGTCTCTGATTTTCTTTTCACTTTTTAAAGAACTGAGTTAAGGAAAGTAAGTTGCTTTTCCTGAGTTACCATGAAATAATTTAATGAACTTGTCATGTAGTTTTATAGCTGTATTGTTACTGAATGGTGAGTATCACGACATGGGATTTGTTAATGTGTGCAACTCTTCATATTCATTTTCATATGTCTGATTGGATTGAAGAAAACGGAAAGTTAAATTTAAGTGTTATTACAAAAATAGAATTTCTTTAGAAGGAGTAATCCAGTGAAAATTTTAGTTATAGTGGTACAGTACCAGTATAATGAATACATGGGATACCATTCACTCAAGTTTGTGATACTTTTTGTATTTCAGGTGCAGGTAAGTATTTTAATTTTCAAATTCTGATTTTTAAGAATTGGACTTATTTTTAAGTTGTCTTAATACTGAAGAGAATGTCTTGGAATATAATAACATGTTTTCTGAAATCAGTTTTGACATTTGAGGATGCTGTGGAAATCTGGAAAGAAAAATGCAATGAATGGTTTAGAATGGATTAAGCAGTTACTAAATATGTATAGGTTGGAAAACAGTGATTCCTCTGTCTGAGTGGTTTTTTTTCCTTGTCTTTCCTTTATCCCCTAATTAAACATTTACAGTTATTTCCAGGCTGCTTTCTCTAGGCAATCACTATAATTACTACCACACTGGTAGAATTGTGTAACTTTGGTCCAAAAAAAGAAGGGTGCAATTTAAAAGTAAAAGGGTATTATTGCAATGAGCTGTAAAAACTAAGAATGCTAATTAATAGATTATAGTTAGCTAACAGTGTGTCCTAATTAAACTCTGAATTCATTATATCTTCTGTAGCCTTTTGGGGTTGGTCACTTCAGCCCTTTATAAGGAAGATCAGTTTAACAGGATTTACTGTAATTAAAGAGACTTCTCTGTTTAGACACTGAACAAGGTAGGGATTTCTCTGATCTGTTGGGAGACCAGAAAAATCTCTTCATTACCCTTCCAGCCTCCCCATAAAATGAGTTCCAGTATAATTGCAGGAACTGGTGTTTTAGACCTCAGTGAGTATTTTAGCACATGACTTTTTATTAAAGACTTTTCACATGTGCAGAACTTGTGTTTTATGTTAAGTTTAGCTAAGGCCAAATGCTGTGTCAAAAATTGACTCAACTCATGAAGTCAAGATGCTGGTTAGCTCATGCCGTTATCTGATAGTCATCGTAATCTCCTTGCTGTAGTCTTGGGTCTTTATTCCTGTACACACACTGGATTGTCCCTGATTGTAATGTTTTTTTATTGCTGTTCTTGTCATGTCAGCATTGAATTATTGAATTGCTTTCTGGTTTTAGAAGTTGTTGAAAATACATGAAAATATGAGCTCTGGTTGAACCTCAACCTCCTGTGAAAAATGCACAAAGTGTCTTTGGGTTTTCTTTCCCATTTCTTGGGAATATGTGCAATTAAATCACGATTATTGATGTATTGCATACTGATTTCCAATACATTTTCTGGATTCAATAAAGATCAGAGAATGAATAGGGAGATTAAAGGGCACGCTACCTGTCCTGAAGCAATCACATCTCTTTTTGTTTGATTATCTTCTTAGGCCAGTGGGTAACAGGGATATCACAGATAGAATACTGAGAACGTCGTGCACATGCACCTATATACTTCTTGCTTGGGTTGAGAGTGCTGTAGTCTTGCTCAGTTTTGTTGTTTTCACCGGTTGTGGTGTAGCACAGCTGTATTCATCAGCTAGTCTGAGCAAATAGTACAGCTGTGGAGTGTAGCATATGCTAAACTTGATTTTCATCCTTTGTTGCTGATCTTGAAGAGCCAGAAAATCCTTTCTTTTCATAAATGGGGAATGTCATTGTCATCTCATTTTGAAGAGCTCAAAACTAAACATGGAAAGTATTCCTGTAGTTAATGTAGCTTCTTGGAAAAATACAATAGTTTTTAGAGCAGTGCGAATTAGTTAACCAGTTGTACTCTGCAAGAAGCCACAAGGAGAGTGCAAATAATTTCTCAAAGGTTAACAAACCCATGCATATCCAAGGATGAACTGATGGAGCCAATAAATAGGAGCTTTTTTTTGGCATGATATCACTCTCGTCAGGGTGGTTTAGTAGGAACTGTATTTTTCAGAGTTGTATTTTTCTTGTTTAAAATTTCCCTGGAAACCTCCTAATCAGAAGCCAGAAGAGGTAAGGAAAGACAGTTAATATTTTTTGCACTTGGGTAGAAGTAATTTCCCTAAAAACTGGACCGTGGTGGACTATGTGGAACTCAAGAACAAAGGAACTTCTCTCAGTTGAAACTTGCTTATAACAAGCTGATTCTCCTTTAAAATAAGTAGTGCAATGCAAATTTGATGTCTAATGCCCTGCTTTGAAATTTCCTACATTTGACTGATCTACGTCTATGTTATGTCTACGATTTATATTTCAGCTGAAATAATGTGGTACTGCTGAAAACATCTTTTTACTTTGATGTATTTCTGTGGTCTTTTCGTGGTTAGAGGCCTTGGATATCTGAGTGAGAGCGTTTAACCAAGGAAATATTTCTGAAAGGAATTTCACCTTGCTTGGGGTAAGAACTTGAAGAACATTCTACTTTATTGTTATGGAGAAGGGTGATGGGTGTACTGCAGCATTTCATCAGCATTCTTCTCCAGACTTCTGTAATTTCGTCCTCCTCAGAAGTACTCACCATTTCACTGTGGTGTGGAGTGAGCCTTTCGCTTCTTAAAATATAGTTGTTTATCTGTTAGCCTCTTAAATGCATTGGGTGCTGCTGTTGTGAGACTGGCTGAGCTTCTGAGTATATTCTTCCTCTGAAAATTGGATTAATTCTCACTACTTCATTGATTTAATTTTTTTTTAAATTATATTTTAAAGAATTGTTTTGATTTGTCTTAGTACTGTGTCGTTCTGATACTAGTGCCGTTCCCGAGTTGGTTATTAGTTGATAGAAAGCTAGATGGATGTTTAATTGCGCAATATGTGGTTCCACAGTCATTGCTTGAAGACATTATCTGTATTCCACAGTATTACACATTCAATGGCAGATGTCTATTGGCTCTCTAGAATACTGCCATCTTTAAGGTTCCCTCTGTCTTTCCTCAGTTGGAGCATGAAATTATACTTTAATTCTCTTTCAGAATAGCTCAAAAACTATCTCCTCAAGAGTACTTGGTATTGGAGGCATTTATCAAGTTGCAGCACTTTGTAGTACTTCAAAAACTGTAACATAGGCTGAATGCTTGGTCTCTGCTTGATCCATTAAACATACAGGGGGAATGCTACCAACTGAAAAGCAGCTTGTAATAAAATGGGTATGTCAGTGGTACTGTTGAACTTAATAGTTTATCTGTGCTTTTGCTATTAAGCTGGGGAGGGATTACTTTAGATTCTACAGAACTTTAAATATCAGACTTTTTCTGCTGTATTTCTCTGTCTGCTATGTATTGAAACTCTTCACACATTACGCACCTAACTATGCATTATTCCACCATTTAGTATGTATATTCCTGAAAAGTTTTGTCTGTATTACTGTATTTCTCTAGAAGCCATTGTCTCTTTCTGCATTATTGTAGTTCTGGTGTTTGAGTTGCTAACCTTTTCCCCTAAGCGTTCTTGCTTTCTGAGGTATGTACTAGGTAGCTTGAAGATGACAATTACTAGACCTTGAAAAGAAAGTCTGTTCAGCAAAACTTAGTTTCATAACCCACAAGGTCTACATAAGTGTATTTTTACATGGTATTTGGAGATTTGTCTTAGGTCCTCTCAGAAAGACCAGAGTCACCTTTTGTAGTGGAAAAAAATAGAAGGACTAAGTATAGTTAGTCTCCTTCTGTGTTGATACCACTTGATATATCTAAGTGATTTGC